CCTGTCCTTTTCACTTATGCGAATTGCATGCGTCTACTCATAATAATTTTTTTTTTCAGTCACTGAATAGAAATGAGACTGATGACATGTCGGTGACATGATAAGGTGGACATGACAAAAATAAAAAATTTTATTATGAGAAGACGTATGCAATTCGCATAAGTGAAAAGGACAGGTACATGATTGGTATTTAAACTTGAAAATGGCTCAACGAGCCGAAACTTCGTAATTATATGTGTAGTCATTAAGTTGACAAAATTTTGAAAATTGGTGTAAAATTGGCTGATAATAAATAAACTTGAAAATAAACAGTATGCACCGAAGAAGAATTGGAGAAATATTGTGAATATAAGTCTATAGGTTGAGACCTAGTATTGAGAGAGTGGATAGAGGAGCGTAGAGTAAGGAGTTCCAGGATGTAGGGAGGGTTTTTGGTTCTGAAGACTTGGAAAAGGAAAACACCAAGGAGGAATTGTCGTCGGGAAGTAGGATAAAGCCACTTCAACTCGGTGTACCAGAGTGAAACATGTGAACGCCTGGGGATCCCGAAAATGTATCTTATAAAACAATTCATGAGTCTCTTGTACAGACACTATATTTCCTAGCTATAGAGCTAATCGAGAAGTTTGGATTAAGGCAAGAAACATTGTTACGGGAAATAGAATGGGCAGTAAACACATTGTCTCCCTACAAATTGGCAGGTTTGGATGACATCCTACCAATACTGAGTCTAAAAGGACTTTCAATAAATAAACCCTATCTCTTAGAGTTATTAAGGGTCAGTAATAATAAGGTATAGCTTTTGGTTACCTTCCTACAGAATGAAGAGCATCCAAACTGTGCTTTATTCCAAAACCTGGAAAGGGAACATATGATGATCTTAAGTCATTCAGACCAATATGTGTGTCATCTTTTCTAATGAAGACATTGGAAAAGATTCTGGAAAGGTAGGTATATAAGAGAGCGATTAGTGAATTCTAATTCCTTACATTTCAATTAATTCGTGTAACCTGGTAAACTATGTGAAACTGCAATACATAATCTGGTTTCAAGGATTGAAAAATTCATGAATCATAAGGAAATAATGATTGGTACCTTCGTATATATAGAAGGTGCCTTTGATAGAACTTCTTAAAAAATTATCATGGATACATTAGTGACAAGAAAAATAGATCTACTTGTCACCAAATGGATTGGCAACATGTTGGATACAAGAATTCTCAAAACCGAACTAGGGCACACCGTAAAGTGGATCAAACCTGAGGGAAGTTGTCCACAGAGAGTTGTGCTCTCTCCATTGCTGTGGTGCTTGGTGGTGGACTCCTTGCTCTTAAAACTAAACTCTGCAGGCTTTTAGGCACAAGGATATGCGGATGATATCGCTTTTCTTATAGGTGGAAAATATCAGAATGGTTTTTTTGATCTGTTGAGAAATGCGACAGCAGTCTATGAGGGATGGTGCCGGTCTAGTGGACTAAGTGTCAACCCAGCAAAGATAAATGTTTGCATCTTCGCAAAGAAGAAAAAGATAGAAGTAAGACTACCTAAAATAAACAACATCCAGCTAACAATAAGTAAGGAGGTCAAACACTTAGGTGTTATGCTGGACAATAAAATGATGTGGAATAATCATGTGGAGTACACAACTAATAAAGCTCTAAAATGCCTTTGGGCATGTATGAATGCTGTTGGGAAGGCATGGGGACTTAAACCTGGGATGGCTTAATGGCTTTATGTCACAGCTGTTAGACCTGTGCTTTTATATTCAACTGTTGTATGGTGGCTTAGGGCTAGAGTGGCCACAACAGGATACAATTGGAAAAATTACAGAGATTAGACTGTTTAATGAAAACAGGCAATGAAAATTATTCCAACTGCAGCCATGAAAGTAATGAAGGTCTATTACCTCTGCAATTGGGAATTGAAAAGTAGGCCTTAAAACTTTTTCGATTTCCAACAAGCATACTACAGTTCACTGAAACTGCAGGACTTACGCTCACAAAAGAAGTGACTTTAATAGAGGCATACAACAGGCCTTCATGACCGCAGTGCATTCATGCCACATATAAAAAAAACTGATTTGTTAAGCGTCAACGCTTCCCATGCGTAAGTCGCTATTGGCCTTATAAGACATTTGTACAGCCTTATTTCCGTATTGCAACTAAGTATCCTGCTTCTAATAATTTTGGACAGGAAAAAATATGCTCTGTTGGCTGTTGTTAATCCTCATCTTATTTCAGATTCCTCTTCCATCTATTCTGTTCTTGTAGCTCTCAGGTATTGGAAGCATGGAACAACATCAAAAGCAAATTCTCCTATTCTAATATGTTGTTGTGGGGCCACATCATATTTCCTGATGCTCATCATTTTGTTTTTATGTTTATTCACTTTTAGTCCCATATATTTCGCTTCCCGTTCTATTTTGCAGAAGGCTTCCTATACAGCGGCTTGTGATCTCCCAATAATTGCTATGTCATCTGCATAAGCTAGAATTTGTACCATTCTTATTGTAAATAATTTATTGTCATAGTTCAGTCCCGACATGCTAACAATCCTATGCAGTAAATTAAATATTAGTATTGCAAGTACATCACTCTGTCTTCGCCCTGTGCAGGAGTGCTCAGAAGGGGGTTTTATTGCATAAGTTGCGGCAAATTAATGAGGTGTACACTTTTTGACGGGGCTTTCAATTTTTTAGGGGAGCAAATTTCGATGGTGTTATGAATTTTCAAAAATGAAACGTTTCAAATTAAAAGAAAAGTATGATCATGGAACAGGCCACAGGATGTGTAATGATATATAATCCATGAATATTCAAATTCTACTTTCGTTTGCACTGTTTTTAAGAAGAAGAGAGGAATAAAATATCTTGGGAGAAGCGGGGGAAGGTTAATGCACCATCGGCTTTGGGGAGGATGGTCACCTCTGGCCCTGTGTTCACAACAAACGAGCCACTACTCTTTCTGCTCGTCAGGACTTGGGGTATAATACCCCAGGATAACACCTAGTTAGTCCAATAAGTTTTCTAAGGTACCTATTTCTTTCATTGCACTGTAGAGTTTTTCTTTAATTACCAGGTCATAAGTTACCTCAAAGTCCACAAATAGTATCCTCAGAGGGTGTCCGAATTCATACATCTTTTCACCCAGTTGTAAAAGGGTGAAAATTTGATCTATTCTAAAATGTGCTTTCCATGTAGGATGCTAGCCAGTTATAAAATAGAATAGAATAGAATAGAAAACATTTTACACACAACATTCAGGAGACTGATTCCTCTATAATTGCTGCATTCTGGAAGGGATAATGGCTTACCTAAATTCATCAAGTTCGGAGGAGAAGAAAAGGAAAAGACGCTGCAGACTCTATTCCAAAAATATGGGATGAAAAAATAATTCTAAAAGACTGAGGATATGAAAAAATCATCCCTATACACAAAAAAGGCAATGAACAATAGTAGAAGACGATCTAGAACCAGAACAAGCTGTTTTCCGTCCTAAAAGATATACGATGGATCATTTCTTCTAGCTAAAAATGGTTGTAGAAAAGGCTTGGAATCAAAGGAAGAATATTTACCTCACTTTCTTGGATCTTATTTGGTAATGTCTTCCATAAAGATATTTGGAAAGCATTCCATAGGAAGAAAGTCCCTCCTAATCTGATATAGGCTATAAAGTCAGCCTACCAGGAACCTATGGGAGTGGTCTACCTCAATGAAAAGGAGTCCGGATCCTTCTTTAAAAACGGAGTTAGGCAAGGTGACAGCCTAAGCCTCCTCTTCTTCATAACAATTATGGATGAGACTCTTAAGAGAAGAACTGGAATGGACTTAAACCTTACCTTAAGGCCATTAAAATGACACAAAACCTATTTATTATATCGACGGTAGGCAATAAAAACCTCGTAACTACATCTGTTTTTGTAAACCACATAACTCCAGTCCCTGAGCTATATATGCCTAGATAGATTTAAAAGTACATCTGTATATTCAACCTATAAGTGATTATGGATTGTACTACTATTAGCTATTTAACTCTTATTTTCCCATATTAAAGTTTACTAAAATGGAGTTGTATAATTGTATAATAATATCAAATTGTCCAGCTTCATATAAGCTAATTTAATTTAATTAGAATCAGATAAATTTTAATTTAATAGATAAATCAATTTAAACCATTTATTTCTAATATTTTCATTGCACGTGATATTGTGCTTCCTTTTCTATTTCTAATTCCCTTCTCTTAATTATATCACAATATAATATAAATAATATTGAAAATTGGGAAGTCCAATGGAAAATACGAGCCAAATTATCAGAAATAATAACCATGCGCAATACATGGGCCACAAGCTTCAGAAAATCGAGAAGGAAAGAAATAATATTCTGAATGCAAATTGGACACTGTCTTTCTACACACAGATACCTTCTTAGAGTTCTCGAAGCGCCTCCCTGGCAAAAGTGTGATAACACACCTTAGACAGTTAAACATTTATTACTAGAGTGTCCCCAATACAAAAAAAAGAGACAAAAATTAAAATTGTCCACAACATTGAAAGATATTTTGCCAGACAGGGAGGAAGATGTCGTCATTCTCTTCCAATATTAAATGAAAACAAATTATTACAGCAGAATATAAAAATTAAGAATTACCGACAATGAGCCTCTAGGGTAGAATAAAATAAATAACATTATATATAGTATAATAATTAATGTATTGTATTCAAGGGGAAAATGTCTAGATCGAAAAATAACTAGTCATCTAGATAAAATATATATTAATATAAATATCAATGAAGAGCCTTTACAATTACTGCGTATGTGGTGCATTAGCTACTGTACTCATTGAGACCATAAATTGATGGACAAACTGAAAAAAAATTGGCAAAGAAAGAAAATCAATAGACCCAATATAGATAATTATAAAAAAAATAAATAAAAAAAAACCATCATTCTGAGGTTCTTTATTGCTTCAGATCATTTATACTCAATAAAAACATTATCCCTATGCTTTAGGTATTCTTATTAGTTCATTAATTTTCTTAATACAACTTTCTCCCTCAGCTTGAGCATTTTTATTGTGGCCACGTTTTCCTTTATTTTTTCCATTTTCACACCATATTTTAGCTTCATTTAAAAGTCCCTTACTTAGGTATATTAAACCAATTCTGTTGTAATATGTTGGTAGATCTGAATTATTAGTTAACTGCCCAAGTGTAACTGCATTCAAAAGATACCGCAGAGCTTCATCTTTTTGACCGCCCAAATATGACATTTCACTCAAGTTAAACAAAATCACCATTACCTGAAAAAACATTCAAAAGTAAAAAAAAAAAAACATTATTGCAAATGACAACATTGTAGCTGGTGGGGAGGCATAAATCAAATTATGTTTATATTTAAACTATAGTCAGACCTCTCTAAAAATTTGACTGTTGCAGATGAATGTTTTCAAATTTATCAACAATCATGTTTATATTTATATTATGTGGCTAAAGTGCTCTTGTTCAATCTCCACTGGCTTTAGCTCCAGTGATGTGGTTGAGTGGTTGTACAGAGAGTGGTTGGTGGTACAGAGGGATCTACTTTATTTCTTATTGTATATACTTTTTGACTATTATTATTTTTTTTTAAACTTCTTTATTGATATATTACAATCTGTCACATTCAAGGACAATAGTAATAGTGATATAGAGTAGCTCATTCATACCATACAATAAATAAAAATAATAAACGGCAATATAATAATAGTTGTTATTTTATGATTTCTGTATATATGATGTGAATGTGTTCATATCTTAATGTAATTATTGTCCGTGTGAAAAACTGTTATATTTATGAATAAATAAATTAAAAAAATATATTTATATTCATATTACAAAATTTTAAACACATAAAAAAAGGTTTCTGTATACTTTACTTATTTCGGAATAAACTAATTAAACATAGAAAAAATATCAACATTAACTTAAAACTTTTACCTAGTTCTGCCATAAATACAGTTACAAAAGTTGAACTTTGTTTACATCCCTGGTTATTATTTAGATAATCCTTACTTCTATCAGATTATTTTCTTTACATGTCAGAATAATAATCCCAATTAGTTTGTATTTTTCTTTTGCTCAGTTAACATGGAGTGGGATGATAAAGAAAACCGAAGAGCTGTGATTGCCTTACACAAAGTTGGAAAATGTATGTCAGAGATTTTCAACACTTTGAAACCTTTGGGTATCAGCCATATGTTCATGTACCACACTTTAAATAGATATAATGAGACCCTATCTGTATGTGACAGGGCAGTCCCGGCACTTTGAGAACGGTAAATGCAGTTAGAGCAGTGGCTGCTCAAATCAGAAGAAATCCCATTCGAAAACAACAAATCATGTCTCGGGAAATGGGAATTTCTGTCATATCAATGTCTCGCATAATAAAAAGTTACTTTAGGATGAGTACATTTCGAAGAATAACTGGACAAAGGCTAACCACTTTCCTAAAAAAAATTAGAGTGGACAGATGCAAAGTGCTCCTTGGTCTTTAAACCAATGGTCTTCATAGAAAGATTTTGTTTAGATGAGAAAATTTTTACAATTGTGGCTAAAAATTCTAAACAGTGTTAAAGATTTTGCTTGAAAACAAATAACAAGCCTTGCGAGACGTATCCACATGAGCAAATGATTCAAGAAAAAAAATCATTCATTTAGGAGTGTACTATTGAGAAAAATGCTCTCTCTATTCTGTTAGGCGATAGTAAAACTGAATTTGGTTCAAGAGGAGAGTTTAACATACAGAAAAAGTGGCGAAGAAAAATATCAAAGGCTAAAGAGAAGTATGACAAAATTACAAACAAATTGAGTGAAATATGATTAAATATAGAAGTTTATATTTAGATGTAAGCAAATGCTAATCACTCTCCTGTTAATTCTCGGAAAATAGAACCAAAAAGGAATGATATTATCAATATGCTGTTTTGAATTAAATGTTGGAAAACAAAAGATAAATCCTGAATGAATTAATTAAACAAATAGAAAACAATGCTATAGTAAAAAGTATTACTCGGTAACCTAGCGGCCAATGTTAATTGAGGTAAAGGACCATATATACATAAATAAAAAATTGGAAATCATGAATAGAAATATTTTTTATTTAACTAGCAAAAAGAATATTTCTATTTCTAATTTCCAATTTTTTATTTATGTATTTGGTAAAATTTTAATCTAATTTTAAAATATATAATGACAAATTATACATTTCTTTGTCATAGTGCCATATAAAAATATTTTTTATATTTAATTTATAATGTTAATAATGTAAAATGATTTTTTGGAATTTTAATTATAAAACAATCAAGAATCTTGTTTACCTAAATAATAACATGCATCTTTACAACAGCTTATAATTTACCTGGCTACTAAGCAATGATTTTGTCCTGGCAGAGATTTTATAAGCAGTATCGAAGCACTCCTTTGCTTCAACATACTTTTTATTGTTGCTCAAGTGTTTTCCATACCAAAAGAGGGTATTGATCCAAAGTATTTCAGATTCTTCATTTAACATTTCTGATTGGGACTTTAATTTTTGAATCTCTAAACACTCTCTTCAATAAAACATTTCAATCAATTGAATTAATCATTTACACAAATTTATTATTAATAAAATCTACAAATCAATATTATTTCTATAGATCATCAGTATGTGCTTTTCATCAACCTCTTCACTACTCATCTGAACATTGGGAGAGAAAAATTCCTATAAGCTGCATCGTAAAATTTTAAAATGTTCTCCTTTAAATTAAATATTATAACTAATCGTTTGTTCATTAATGTTTTTATTTACTTTAGTTCAAACTACATTATGTTAAATATATTATTACTACAACGCGTGCCAAAAAATATAAATTGTCTTTAGCTTAAACCAAAGAACATGTTATTTTTTTATTTTATTTTTATTAATGTCAAACGCTAACATTAGAAGTAGTATTGTTTGAAACAGATCGAAGAAGGAAAAGAATCAGAAGAGAAGTGAAGTATCCATTGTTAATTGCTATTTTAATTGTTAAAAAATAATAATAAATTGATGAAAATATTTTATATAAATTTTAATTGTTAGATTTATGAACTATTTCTTCTTTTAAGTGTAATAAACAATAATGTTTCATAAATACAAGAAAAATGGTTAAAAAAGATTTTTATTTTTTTTTAGTACAAGGGTATGTTACATGAAATCACATGTCCGCTTTAGGTTAATTTGGTCTAATTTATACTATTGCCAAATTCAAAGACAATAAATTAGAATTATAATCAGGTGAAATAATACATGTCATATAAAGAAACCATATTAACTTATGCTAAACTTTTTAGGGTATCTTTGATCAGTTATTGGTAATGAGATGATAAAATTTAAAAAGATAGTTCAAGTTCATTTTTAATTAATATTGTAAACATAAATTTGAAATAACAAATAATAATCAAAACAAGTGTTCATAAAATGAAAGAACCAAATTCAATGGTACTCAATAGTATTATTGAAAGAATCAAATAAAAAGTTAAAAGAAAACCTAAAATATATTACATGATTTATATTCCTCCAATGGCACTAATTGGTTTAAGGAATACTTCCTGTAAAATAAGTATAAGATTAGCTTTCTGTGTTTATAAACCAATAATGATAATATGTTTGCTCTCAGTTAACTTTACTCCTGATTAAAATTAAATCATAATTTTTCTTCCTCCCTCCCCTTTCATCATTATTTTGAAAGTACAATTATTGTGAAGAGGGAGGGCCATATCCATGTACAATATTTTAATAAAACAGTATAATTCTCATTGGGATCATTTTTAAAATCATGAATTGAAACAAAACTTTTGACCAACTATTATTGGGTACAATGCCTGCTGGTGGATTATTATTTAAATATATAGATGAATTTCAGGAAATTAACCCTTTACAATTTACCTTAGATAAATTTGAAAATGGTTAGCTGCAAGTATTAGCAATGAAGTTGTACTTAACTATTAGGTGAATAACTCTCTAATGAAAAAAAAAAAGCAATCAATAGAAGTTGAGGAGGAATCACACAGGTAAATAGAAAATGAGGCACAATGATGTTAAAAACAGATCTGATGTATCTATATTAAAAATAATAATTAACATAAGTGAAATAATAATTATAATAGATAAACATATGTATATAACTTATTTCAAAATGTAGCAATATAATTGTTAACTTTTAATCTGTTGAGAAATTGCATTAATGATTTTGAATTTCCGATAGCTGGAAAAATATGATTTTTTTTTGTTGTTATAAAGTATATTGATTTTATCCAATGGAAATTCATAAAGTTTAAGTATAATTGATGTTAAAAATTTCATTAATTACAGTTTCATTTTTCTTGTTGGACAGAAGAAATAATTAGGACCCAGTAATGACAGTCTGATTAGTATATATAGATATGCTTATAACTAGAATATGTAAATAGTATACAAACATGCTTTTTGATTCTTCATGCAAAACTAGTAAAAAAATTACAATACTATTTTATAATCTTCTTATTTATGAAAACCGACTTTTAACTAAATCTTACTTGAAATTGTCTTCTGCATCTTGAGAAAATCCTAATTTACTTAATATTCGAGCCAATTTCAAACGGAATTGAACAACCCTGTCATGATTTGGATCAGTACCAGAGCTTATCAGATAATTTATGACCTTTTCCAGTATGTCTTTGGCCTTTAAGATATTTCCTTCTTTATAAGCAATGGTTGCTAGCATATCATAGGCACAACAAACCCCAACTATTGGCTCTGTCCCACATAACTGGACCACATCTTGTAAAATTACTTCAGCTTTCTTTGGTTCTCCATGCTGAAAAAAAAAAATAATGCAATATATGTTTCTAAAGTATCATATATTAATAATTTCAATTGAAAAAAAAAAATACACATCTGATGGTTGATTTAAATGTTCTAATTATTTTTTTTTATTCCCAATTTAATTAAAGAGGATTACTCAAAAGTAATGTGAAGGAAGACCCTCTGTGGGAGAAGAGTGGACTGGAGTAATGAGTTGTGAAAAAAAAAAATCAATGCTGTTCTTCAAAAATATTTCTCACATAATATTTTATAATAAAATGTCTCCGAAAAATCGGATAAGAAAGAGGGAAAATCAAAAAATAAAAATTCATATTAATTTATTAGTGGTGCATGACTTTTCTTTTCTTTTCTATTTAGAAGATGGTAAGCACATTGGGTCATGGGTTCCAGAATGTCTGGTTATGAACATTGTGAGTTCGATTTCCCAACACGGGTCGGTTAATATTATTTTCTGACTGCTGCCGAAAATGAATCTTGACATCCCCACTCTAGTAAGTACGCGGCGGCAACCTCAAGATAGCTTTAGGGGTTGGCAAAAAGTACAGTGGCTTAGCAAAAAGGATCATGTGGCCCACTTACACTGAAGGCTCAAAATATTCAGCAGGATTCCACGTGTGTGTGTTATGAAACAATTTAAACTAAAAAACACTGGCAAATTATCGTATGAAATGTGTTTAATTTGTCCATAAAAAAAAACTCTGGTATTAATTACGCGTCCCCCATCCTCTGGCCAGGGAAATCCCAGTATAGGCTATAAGGGAGTAAAAAATAAATTAAAATATGTTGTACTCTTTAAAAATTATAACGTATATACAGTTATTAAATGTGAGCAGGTTTACCTCTAAAAACATTTAGTCCGTGGTACAGATCCTTTTTTATCGAATTATTTATATCCGCCTGAAACTTCATAAATAGTTTCATATCATCTTAACCTACAACTATTTTATTTACGAAAACTCCTGGAATTGGGTGTTTTCAATCTGGAGGGTGGCAAACTTTTTCTGTTTAATTAGATACTAAAAACTATTTGCTTTCTACTTGGATCGTAAGATAATTTGTTCTCAAAATCGAGAAAAAAGATGGCCTTCAAAAATATTGAGCCATTTGGAGTGACCTACACCCCCAAATATTCAAAATAACGACGTTATATAGGACAAATGGCCCGATATTTTTGTAGGCCACGTTTTTTATCTATTTTGTGATCAAATTATCTTACGATCCAAGTAGGAAGCAAATGTGTATTTACGAGTTTTTAGTACCTAATTAAATAAACAAAGTTTGCTTCCCTCCATATTGAAAATGCCCAAATTCCAAGAGTTTTCGTAAATAAAATAGTTGTAGGGTACGATGAGATGAAACTATTTACGAAATTTCAGGCGGATGTTAATAATTCGATAAAAAGAGGTCTGTACCACGGACTAATTTTTCCTTTAATTACTTTTTTTTATAACAGGCCTTCACTTAAACATTATTATTATATATATATATATATATATATATATATATATATATAATATCATTTTTTTTATTTTGTTTTCTTCAAGAGAAATTTCAGTTATAAAAAATAATAATAATAAGCCCCTCAAAATAAAATGCTGAACCCGCTAGAGTTTATATTCATTTAACTAAATATTCAATTAACTATTTATTAGTTATTCAAATAATTTAAAAATTACATATAAATATATATATATCTATGAGGGAATTTCTAATACGCGATAACTCCCAAATTTCCATTGAACTGCTAAATTTCTTTCTCTTGTTTCCAAATTTAAAAAGTTCGAAGTTCACCAATGCGAACAATAATGCCAAATCGCGCGGAGATGTAAGTAGTTGATTTTTATGTGTGCATTTAAACTTATAAAATGTCAGTTCCTCTGTTACTAATCAAAACTGCTGATTCATAAAAGAGTTCATCCTATATATTAATGAGTTTTGTTATAAATCTTGATAGCTTCGTCATTTTTTAATTAAACTTCACATCAGTGCTTATGGCCAGGTAACTCGGGAAATTACCCCGGGACTCCGACATGGAGAGGGGTGCCCGCCACGTGTTAGGGATAAAAAAAAAAGTTATAAAGTGTATCAGAATACTAAATTTTAGCCTATTAACGAAGCAACTGAATTAGAGACATATTGAATGAAATGAAATTCAAATATTACTTAATATAAAACAGTTTAGGAAATAAATTTAATTTTCAGGATGGTGATGATTACGTCATTGTCCGGGGGCGCCACATTCTACGGCCGACACTACTTCACATAACAAAAAGTAGAAAGAAATGAGTATATGTATATACAAATGACTATTTATACATATCAAGAAATGTTTTTTTCATCTAATAAAATAAACATAAAAATGTATAAATAAGACGTATTCATTGCAGAAGACATCATTCAAGTGCACATTGAGAAACTAGTTAAGACTCTGATAAGAGAAGCAGAACAAATCTGTCTACAAGTGAATGAAGACAAAACAAAATATATGATGATACTCCGAAAATTCCACCCCAATAATATTCCGATAAAGAGGATGAAAAAGAAGGAATCCTGTATGTAGAGAGAAATATTTATAGGAGTGATACCAGACCTAAAGAGATACAAAAAACTTTATATAAACAATAGTCTGATTTTCGGCAGTTTTGTGTTTTTTTTTTTTTAAGTAAGTCTCGTTTTTTGTTGAATAGGAAGCGATAAATATTTACACATTAAATTAAATATTTATCGCTTCCTTTTCAATAAAAACTTACTTTAAAAAACACAAAACTTGAATTTCCAACGTTTCTGCTGACAATTGGACTATTGCTTAAATAAAGTTTTTTGTAGTTCTCGAGGTCTGCTCTCAATATTTCCATCTACTTACGGGACACAGGATTGAGTAAAGGAGTGGAAGGTAATTAATTAAATTTATTTAATTATGTTACACCAGTAGTGGATCGATCCTGGAATCAGGAGACCCTGCTTTGACAAATCCAACCTCTATAAAATGGGTACTTTTAATTAAATAATTAATTAAAATAGAAAATCTGGAATTTGAGTACGATCTTAGCCCAATCACGTCCCTGCACAATCAGTTTTATAATCGTTATTGAAAATTTTCAGCTTGTTTTTCTACTCTTATACATTCGTATATACACTTTAATATGTACTCGTAATACAAAGTAGTTCGGTACCATTTGCGTTCTTTTTTTATTCGCAAATAAAATTTTTAATCACTTTTTCATTTTTTTTTCAACCTCCATTCGGAGAAGTATGTTGTATACATAAATTAAAAGGGCTTTAAGAAGAAGACTTTAGCTAAGTTTCATTAAAATCATTATAGCCGTTTTGAGCTATAATCTATAGCGACAAACGTTTTTCCTTTGCAATTTCGAAAATAAAGATCGGATGGAAATGAAACTATTCGATTTGAACTGGAAATTGGATTGCAATCTTGTATCAAAATTTCAAAGCAATGGTTGAAGAACTTTCAGAGATTATCGTTTTAAAATAAACTAACATTTACATTTTTAATTATGTATACTTTTTCCAAAAAATTTTTATTGATAAAACTAAAGCTCCTAAAAAGCTAAATAAACAAAGAAAATCTATTAAAAAACCGAATATAAAAAGGTACTGAACTATTTTGTACTTGCCTATTTACACTAGCGGATCCAGGATTTAATTTTGGGGAGGGCTTCAGTCCGAAAGTTCTTTTTTCCATAAAAATAACGATAATTACTTTGAAAAAAACCATTAACTAACTGCCTACATGAAATGGTGTTTAAGTGATTCCTAAAGTCCTTTTACATGTGGTAACATGAACAATAATAGTTTAAGAGATAATTTTTTAATATTTTTTTTCCATAAAACATGGTTACATTTTACCATTTTGGAGGAGGGGACTTCAGCCCAAAAGTTCTTCCCCCCGTAGATCCACCCGTAACTATTTATATAATGCAGCTAAAGATATTTGAGGAAAATGTCATTTAAGTGTTTTTAGGAAAATTAAATAATATTTGAGAATTTTGATTCTTTTAGGTTAGGTTCTAATCTTTTTTTTTTTTTTATGCTATCATTTTAATTGTTTGATGTGATGAAGAGAAGTCTAGATTTTTTCATAATTCCCATCACTGATCTATTAAATTTAGTTTCACAATGAAATGGTAAATTACATGGAACTATCCTCAATGAAGAACTTTTTTTTTGCTTCTGATAACTTTATGTTATGTGATATATAATTAAAAAATGACGAAGCGATCATGATTCATTACAAAACTCATTAATATATAGGATGTACTATTTCATGAATCAGCGTTTCTGATTAGTGAAAGAGGAACTGACTCACTAAATTTCATTTTACTAGTTTACTTCATTTGATGATGAAAGAATAATTTGCAAGTATTCCAACTTAATTTGATTTATTAAAATTTACTTTTTTAACAAACATATTTATCAGATTTGATATATCTTTTTATGATGGACAGATAAGCACCACATCTTCAGTTAACTTACTCTTGATAGTATCTCAAAATAACATTTATACTCTATCTTAATTAACTTGAGAATTAATTAATTTAATTTAACTATTATATATTAAGCTTACTTTAAGGGCAACTTCTGCTAGAGCAATATGTTGTGAAACATCCTTTTCCCTTTTCCATTTGTTTCCAAGTATATCTTGTTCATCTTCTTTCTTCTTCTTCTTTTCATTATTTTTGGTTCCCAATCCGATAAATGTGAAATACATAAACTTACAGAAGAATAATTGTTTTTTGCCAGCATCTTCAAAAGAATTAGAAATCTTAAGATCAAGAAATTTAGTTTTATTTATTGTATATTGACATGAATTCTGTATAGATTTGCGTAAACCTAATACACGATTAATTGTTCTGAATAGTTTCCTCATTAATGAAATTTTATCCCTCTGAAGAGGTTCATTTTGCGTGAGTACTTGAACTTGATCAAATTTGAATTTAAACTCCCCGTCAATGCATCACACGTGAAAAGATAGCGCTACAGTCGGCTTTCCCAGCTGTGGCTTTCTGTATACATCACAGGAAGCAATGCTTCTTTAATTTTGTTACAGTATTGCTTTATGTGCTACTTTGAGTATGCTTGATTCAGTAATTTTGTTTTCAACATCTTGAAGAGGGTGTTGACAAGTATGATTCATAATTCACGTTTATTGCGGGGATCATCTCCGCTCTAAAAACAGTGAGTTTTTAAAGTGGAGGTTTTGTCTTAGTAGTTCGAAGATGTTTTTGTTGGAGGTTACATGAATTAGGATTGAAATACATCATATTTGTTTGTGTATTTTATTCAGCTTAACGAAGTGAAATTTTAAGTTATTTTTCTCTTTGATTTTAAATCTTATTTGTTCACTTTCACAAAGTGCTTTTGAAACTTAGTTCCTGTCAAGTATTTTTTTCAAATCATCATCATATCTATCTTTAAGAATACCTATAGGAAGGTGAGAAACTATAAATCATGTCTAAGAAACATGAACCTGGATGTTGATAACTTGGTAAGCATTGGGGTTAGTTGTTTCACCTATGAGTTTTTCTTGCATTTGAGACTTTCACCTGTGCTGTTTTGAACTTCTAGCAACCAATATGGAAACTTTGGGGAGAAGAAAGAATAGATGGAGCAATTTATACTGTTTATCTCAAGAAAGTTCGTTACCATCGGCCTACACAGTCTGTTCAATCAGTAAGATTTTTTAAAATACATTTGATTTGCAGATTGCTATACTATACTTAACTGTACTTCTAATTGATGTTGATCTGTTATAAATTTCCCACAAAACTTGCCATTTATAAAATTTGCCATTCTTTTACATCTTATGTTCTTGGTCTATTCCTTAGTGTTTGATATTTGTTTTAGACTACTAGTCCAACTAATTTGGTTGGAGAAGTTGTCAGTTTTCCATTTTCCATGACTGATTTATCTTTGCAGGAAGATAATGGTGAACGCATTTCACATCTAGAATGGGAAACAGTTCGAGTAAGATTGTTAAAAGCAGGAACTTTAGAAAGACTTGTTGAAGCATTGGCCACTGATGAAGGAGAACTTGAGTCTACCTATGTCAACATTTTTCTTGCTACTTACCGTACATTTGCTTCTCCTCATGAAGTTTTAACATTGCTTTTAGACAGGTGAGTCTGAAGCAATTCTCTGTGCTGTTCAAATGGGTCATTTAGTTTCTTGCACTTTTAATGTTTGTATAGTATATTTATAGTATTTTTAAAGGTTTGTTAATTTGTAGGTATGACCAGCTTGCCAACAATGAGTTAGATCTTCCTCCTCAAGTTGCAGAACAGCATAGAAAGTATGTGCACATGATATTTATTAATTGTTTCCTTGACAGTTGTTGCTCATTAAAAATTATTCAATCTTTGATGAATTATTTTTGCTCTCACTTAATATATAAAGTGTATTGTAAGAGAAAATTTTCCAACCGTGACAAAGTTTGAATCCGAGTTTTTAAATGGAATGTCCTCTGATTACCAATAACCAAGTGTCAATAAACTGCTAAAAAATTTGATAATTGACTAAAGGAGAACATTTAAGATTTATTTTTGTAAGTTAAAAACAAATTTCTGGAAATAAGAGTAATTATATGTGTAATGATTTTTGACTTTACTATTGAAAAGTTAAAGGTTTTAGAAAAATATTATCTAACATGGAGTTGTAGAAGGTAATGCAGAGTGATGAAAAACTAATGACTTTTGACTAACTCCAATTTTAACATTTTTGAGTAGTCATTTTAGTGGTGTTTCTGGTTATACAATTTATAATATCTTTACAGACAGTGAGTAAGTTGATTACAGAGGAGGTGATTGCAGTGTTGAAATATAGAACTGTGAATAAAGTTATAAAATGTCCCCAATATAACTATAATTAATAATAAAAAATGTTGAAATTGGAATAAACCATTCTTTCAACTGAAAGACTCAATTGTTGCAGTTGATAATGCTACTTTTTTATTAGTGAGTGAAAAAATAATAGTTATCCATGGAGAATAAATGAGATTACATGACTAATAAATTGAAAACTTAAAAATTTATTTTCAGCTTGAAAGACAACAAATATATTGTGCCCTGAATTGTCATACTTTATATTAACTATCATACGTTTGTATTTATAAATAAAGTAATATTCATAAGCTTTATTACCTTTTAAAAAGAAATTAGTTTTTCTGAAAGTAGGTGGGTAAGTGAAAATGAATTGATGTGTTGTACCAATTTTTTTTCTCTATATATCGACAGAGTAACGTTATATCTGTGGGGCTTTTGATTAGGAGCAAATTTGTAGATTGTGATTTATGTGTTTCAAATCAAATTGTTTTCACCTTTTTTATGTATGAAGGGCCAATTGTTACGTATATATAGCAAGCCAAGTAATAATACTCTGAGTTGACAAATATTACCCTAGATAAACAAAGAAGAGAAATCAAAGTTTGAAATAAACTCGAAATCCACTAATTTGCACTTAATCTCTTATTCACAAGATTTATGTATTTAGAAATGATCTTTTTTTTTTTTTTTAAATATCTGGTTTATCTCATTCTTTTGTGGTATCTTTTGTAATTATTTGAATATACTTTTATGAAAATCTTGTTTTTTCTACATTCATTATGTGAAATAAGTGCTGTCAATATCAAATCCGTTATTTTCTTTCTCTTGATCATGACAAATAAATTGTGACCTTTCAGAACTTAATGAAGCTTAAAAGATTTTATTCAATATGGCGAACTGTAAAAGTTTAAATTTATGTACTAGTTGGAAGTACCTAGATAGAATTAAATATAACCCTAATCTGACAATAAATCAGGTATAGAAATTTATAGTGGTACAAAATAAAATTTATTATTTGTAATAAATGTTCAAATGGGTAAATAAATAAGGTTGAGTGTTTGAGTTCTACAATATATATGTACTATACATTAATTAAGAGCAAGATTTTTTTTCAAAGTTACTTTTTTTGCTAAGGGCTCAGAAACTTGAAAATAATAATTATTAGAAATTAGACTTTGTTATATTTTTTTTTGAAACATGCCTGCTTATGTGAAAAGAAAGAATCTTAAAGCGTTTTGAAAAGATAGTGCATGTAATAGTTGACCTGGAGAAAACAATGGGCTTACATGGGGATGGGCACATATAAAACAATATGAGATAAGGATACTATAATCTAGTAAATTTTATTGTTGTGATTTGTATCAATTTAGTTAGCGCTGAACTAAAGGGTGGACACCAAGAGATAGTTGAGACATTGACAAAATAAGATGCTTCCGGCCTTGTAGAACATGACAGAATAACAGATTGTGACCATTTTGTGTTACTCTGAGTCAGGCTTCTGTGTGTCAGAGAGAATACTAGAACAGGAAGCTTCCTCCGTAAAATGGCCATGCCTTTTGAACTTCATTAGAAGAATGAAAAGGTTTGACACAGAGATGGAGGTGTGGACCAATGGGCTACCATTGGTGTATTGTCTATGGGGTTGGCAAAAAGAAAGGACCAATAGGCACACTTGCCGGTCTTAGTCCGCCCACCAGTACCTGTAGGGATACAAAACACACAGCATGAAATCATGAGACTTTAGTTTGGACTGGACTGAAAGATGAATACCAAGGGATAGTCGAGACATAGGATAAGATGCTTCTGACCTTTAAGATTTATGGATGACTGTATTAACACCTATCTTTTTCTACTTATTCATTATTGAAGAGTTATTCATAGATGCTTGAGAAAGTATACGATTTTAACCATAAGAATCATGGTGAAGCTCTGTCAGCACTTAAATATGTTACTATAATCATTGCTTAGATGTTATGTATACTTTTATTAAATATCTATAATAGTGGTATACACACATGTATAGTAAATCATATAATAATAAATGTTATAAGTCATTTGTATTATTAAAATTAATTTAAGCCACGATACTAAGTATAATTAAAGTAATGGAATCAATTTAAAGGACACTATGTGGTGCTCTTCATGTTTGGTTGGAGAGTTATCCGGAAGACTGGAGCCAACCTCCTCTTCATCCGATGCTCCGCCAGCTGTTGCTTTTTACACAACAGCACCTGCCTAATTCAGAGCTTCACATTAAAGTCCAACATCGTCTGCAGAGCTTGCAGTCACATTCGAAGTCCTGTGGTACGTACTGTATTGATATTGATTTTTAGTAAGGACTATTATCTCAGTTCAATAATTTAAAAATTACATTCAGACTATTAAAGTATAAGATTAAGTGTTTCATGAGTATTTCAGTCATTTATTTCAGTCTGATTTTTTTTTTATTGTTTAAAAAATCGCCTATATAATTTTTTTTAAATAGATAAAACAAATCTTTTTTAGCATAAACAAGAATAAATATTAGATATATGCTTTATTTTTAACTTAATGACAACAGTACATCTACTTAAAAATAGTTTTGCCAATTAACATCAATATATTACAACTTATGAAAGCAGAATCACTCGGTATTCTGTAAATAGTGATGAAATGTTCTAATGAATAGAACAGATGAGATTCACTTAATGTTTTTTTTTTTTTTTTTTTTGTTGAGTTAAGTTAAAAGTACCAGCAAAAGACATTGAACTAGTCATAGACAGTTTTAAATTCATTAACTAATTATATGCTTTATATAACTTATGGAGAGTGAAAACATGAATCGATTTTCAGTTTAAACAAGCAGGAGGGTGATGCTTGAACCTCAAGTGATATGCCACAATAGACGGTTGGTTGTTGATTTTTTAAGGAGCAAAGCTGAGAGTTTGTTTCAGAGATGTTCCGTTATCACTTTTCTTGTTGAAACACGTTTGAAACTTTGATTAATTCATCTTTTGTTTGTCTTTTCTTAGTTTAAATCTGCAAAGAATTTATTTTGGATTTTTTCAATTCTACAAAATATATATTGACCCAAAAACCTAAGTGTCTATAACTGTTGCAATATACACTATCAGAATTTTATGTTTTTTCTGTATAATTAACTAATTGACTGCATAGAAAAAACAAATTCAATAGAAGACTAAATTAATTACTATTATTATTAGTTTCTAGAATCTCTTAGGTGGGACATAGGGCCGCTACGAAGTTCTTCCAGGCTTCTCGATCTTTAGCCAGCTCCTTGACTGTCTTTCTGGTGTTAATTTTCATCTTATTTTCTTCATTATTAATTTTTTATAGATTCGTTTTCATATAAAAACAAATATTAATGGTTTCTCAACTAACATTATTTTACTTCCTTCAGATGTTTATTCACTCTATAATGGCAGCAGTCTTTGCCTGCATACAACATCCACTCAACCACCGTACATGTTTCCTGACATTCCTCACCTTCACTTCGCCGAGCAGCTGACAAAAATTGATATGGTATTAATTTTTATTTTATCTTTGGTTGACTTTTAATTTATGTTAGAAAAAATCATTACAATATTAATTTTTAAGAGTTATAAAATTTAGGAGTACTGATTTTGTTTTTTCACTACCGAAGGTATATTATTCGCAGAGTATTCATGAAAGAAGTTGAAAAAATTTTGTACTCAGAATCAAAAATTTCCTCTCGCATTTTACGTTTCAGACATCAAGGATCAAATTTGGTTCAGTGTCTGTCCGTCTGTAGTCAAATCAATGTGACGGGCATATCATCCACTACCGTTTATCTGATTTTCAGGGATTGTGCGGGTTGGTGCCTAGATGGTCCATATCAATTTTATTAAATTTCATCCAGTACCTGCCGCTTTATTATGTATGTTTTTAGATATGCCAATATTTCAGAAATGGCTCATTCAGTTTGCCTTATTGCTGGACAGAAATGTTAGGTATTTTAAAAAAATATGTTATCAATTTTATTGAGTATGAATCATCAAATATGCAATTTGCAAATGCCGAACATTATCACATTTTAAGATTCGCTGATGAGACCTTGTAATATAGCTATTTTTCAGCCAATGAAAATGGTGAAGATGCTATACTGACCTTAACTTGGCAGACATTTTTAAAATGTTTTGATCTATTAACTAGTCTTATATAATATAATATACACTAGTGTAGATATCTTTTCTGGCTATCATAGCTGATGAATTTTGATGAATGAAATTTCAAAAGGAAGGGATTTCATGAAGAATTGACCATGTGTTTTAAAGTTCTGAAATTTACCATTTTTGAGATCACGCACCCAACTTAACTCTAGGAATAATCATCTAGATGTCATAGTTGTTAAGGGAGCTTATAACATATCAGTAAGGTTTTTAAAAATTATAATATTGCTAAATATACCAAATTAAAAATATGTTATAGAGTTAAACAAAGGAGAATGTGCCTGAAATCTCTTGAGCATCTTAGGTATGCATAAAGAAAAAAACATTTTGATATTATCAATCAAAATAAACATGATTTGTTGACATATTTTAATGTTCTAGGCTATTTAATAATACCAAATATACTTATTTTCCTCTTATTAAGTGGGAGAACCACAAACGAAGGATCCTGCTTTCTGCACAAACACAACAGTCCTCAGCATGTACAATGTTAGGTCAATAAAAGTTTATTCATAGCTGAGCCTTATTACTTTACTGTTAAAAAGAGATATTTTACAGTAGGGCAAGCTAATAACTTAAGTCATCTGTTATTTAGACAAAATCATTATGAAGTATGTATTGGATTGGCAAATAAGTGCTTTCGGTTTTTCAGAATGAAATAAAACTCAATGTATTATAGACATAAAATTTATTTTAATCTACAATATATTGACCATTATTTAATATGACTTTTTACCATCTTTCCACTAACTGCATAATGAAATGAAATGAAAATAATTTTATTATTCTGGGACTAGTGTCCCTTTAGAACAAGTCACAAATACAGAATATATATCAATATTTTGGTGTGTCCATGAAATACTATTTAATATTTACAGGTTGATTCAGAGTACAATAAAGTTATAAATGTTGAAAAGATATAAATACGTGTAAATATAAAATATACAAAGAAATTAATGCTGTGTTCATAGAATGTCTGGAGTTTAATGTTAAAAAACTGATCCAAGTGGTTTTTGATGCCCTCTTCTTTTTGGAATTTCTTTCCATTCATGGAGTTCTGCAGAGACCGGAATAAGTGTTAATCATTTGGAGCTAGGTATGGTGAGCTAGGAAGGGTGGGGCAAAAGGTCCCATTCAACTAACTAACTAACTCCATGGCGCTACAGACCGGTGTGCTCCTTGGCCGGCCCAATGAGCCCTCGCCAGATGGCTCTATCTTGTGCAGTCGTTCGCCAGTTGTGGATATGCAATACTTCTCTGACGTCCCAGATGATGGCGTTCTCCCATCTTAAACGTGGTCTTCCTTTCCCTCTTGTCCTGCAGAGCTTCTCATCAAGCAACTTCCTTGGGACTTCCTCTTCTGCCATTCTGGCCACATGGCCAGCCCAACGTAGTTGCCCAAGCTTGATGCACCTCAACACATCTATCTCCCCATATATATCATATAGGTTCCTGTTATTCCTCCTTCTCCAATCATCACCGACCTTTACAGGTCCAAAGATTAGCCAAAGGATCTTCCTTTCAAACATTAGTAAATCTTTTTCTTCTTTGCTAGAGAAGGTCCCGCTTTCTGATCCATATCTGAGAACAGGCCTAATGAGGGTCTTATATATGAAGAATTTTGTATGACGGGAGATGGCAATGCTTCCAAGGTGTTTGCTGAGGCTGGAATAGCAGCTCTTTGCCCTTATTGCTCGCTAGTTGACCTCCAGGGATATTCTATTTCCACAGCTCATAATAGCTGGTCTACATTGGGGAATATAAATGGGACTCGTACTGCATTCTCTGTTTCAGGTCTTGCTCGCATATACATTGTCTTTTCCTTGTTTACACTCATTCCCATAGCTTTTACCGCTTCAGCTAACCTTAAAAATGCACTTTTAAAAGATTTGAAGGAACGTGCCATCAGATCTAGTCAAATCGTCCGGACCATCTGTAGCCTCGTTTAGAAGTGCATCAAAGTGATGAGACCATCTGACCAAATTCTGCTCCTTTTCTGTGATCATGGAGCCGTCTTCGTTTTGACATAATCGGACCCTTGGTTTGAATGATGTTCTATCCCTACGATTTCCTTTGCTGTTCCTTTAATGATTCAGGATAGGGTGTTCCACTGTTCTCCTGCAGAGCTCTCTGACAAGCCTGCACCTGTCACCCTTTCATCCGACATTCGGTTCAGTAGCGTTCACTGACTTTTGGATTCTTAAGCTTGGATGTCGCTATTCTTTCTACCTTCTTTCCCCTGGTTTTTCTTGCATTGGATATCCTGGCTCTGATCCTTGATATCATCAGATAGTGGTCGGTATCCATGTTGGCTCCTTGGTAGGATCTGCAACTCATAAGATTAGATCTGTGCCTCCTGCTGACCAGGATGTGATCTATTTGGTTCACAGTACTTCCATCAGGAGAGCGGCATGTTCCTTTAAGGTTGTTTTTCCAGAGAAGAGCATGCTGCCGACCAGGTCCTTGAATGCAGCAAAGTTTATTAGCATTCGGCCATTCTCATTTGTGTCATTATGGAGACTGTGCATTCCAATAGTTGGTTTGAAGACTAGTTTCTTGCCAACCTTTGCATTAAAGTCTGCTATGATGATTTTTACATCACTTTTAGAGTAACTGTTGAGGGTCCCGTCTAACTGGTCGTAGAATGCCTCCTTCTCATCATCAGGAGACACTTCCATGTGTGCGTAGCAGCTAAGGAAAGTATAATTATGAAACCTGCCTTTCAAACGCAAAAGCCAAATCCTGGGACTTATAGGGATAAAATTTATTACCAGATTCCTGGTTTACAAAGCCAGTTCCAGAGACATGTAGATGCTCGTGGCCGCTATGATATATGGTGTGGAACCGTTTCTCCAGAACTCCACTTCCTTTCCACCTCACCTACTGCAAAGCAACTAAATTGAGGTTGTTGTGAGGAGAGGTGACCCTAGGGTGTGTACTGTAATTGACTTTTGTCTGTAGGTGTAGGTGTAGGTTTCCCCAATCTGGTGGACCAATGGCTGACTTCAGTCTAACGACTGGGAGATGGGGTTGTCACTTCCCAATGCCATGAAAAAAGGTACCATTCAAGGCTCAATAATTTATTGAGAGTGACCAATGAGGTGTGCGGCCTAGTGTTGTTTTGGTGGAACACAACACTCTTCTGATTTGCCAGTTCTTGTCGTTTATTTTTAATTGATTGATCCAATTTTTTTAATTGTCGGCAGTATAGAGTTGAATCAATTTTTTTTTTTTTTGTCCTTCCTTTCCTCACTGTTTAGGCTATATGGGTGTTTCCCAGGCCAGGGAGTGTGGGCAAGGATTTAAAAGACTCCCGCGGCACTGGGATGCGAACTCGTGACTAATTTTTATATCATTGAGTCGTATATCATGTTGCCGGTCAACGGCGATGCTGTGCACATGCGTTAGCCCATTCGGCCACCCCGCCCACAGGGTTGAATCAATTGTATATCCTGATGGCAATAGCTCACAGAAAACAACACCCTTGAAATCTCACCATATGGAAAGTATTATCTTTGGATGCAATCAGCATTTTGACATTCTTCTAGGAGTCTCACTACTATGTCCCCAAAATTTTCTACGGACTAAATTATCGTAAAATATCTATTTGTCATCTCCTGTTACCAACCTTTTCAAAAATAGTTCATTTTTGTAGTGAATCACAAACAGAAATGCGTGTTGTCAAGTTGACTTCAGTTAGAAATTGAGGAACCCAAACATAGCCGAGCTTGTGCAAATGGTTTTCTACACTTGTGTATGACACATTTAGGGCCATAACAATCTCTTGCACTGATTGGGTGGGATTTTGATCAACAATGGTCCCAAACATTGCTCGTTCCAGTTTCATGTGGGTGACCATACTGCTAAGCATCATTGATGTCAAAATTTCCTGAATGAAATTTGGCAAACCGATTTTGGCAGGTGCGTTCGGTTAAGGCATCATCCCTATAAACACCTGCAAATTTTTCTATGAGCTTGTGCAGCACGCTTACCTTATATTACGTTAAGTAATACAACAAAATATGCCGATAATGTATGATATTTTCTTCTATATTCATAGTGCTATAGCAAACACAACACTAAGCTAGTTTCAACAAGAGATTACAGATATCATTGTTGACATATTACAAACAGGATAAACAACCCACCTTAGGGATTAATTCATCAGATAAGAAGTGCATCATAGTTACATAAAAATAAACAGAAAAGGACTTATTTGCCAACCCAATACCTTCAATAATTGTGTATGTTGAATTGATTTCCTTCATAGTAATGTATTGTTTATATGATTGTTTTACCAATATCGCTTATACTTCAAACGTGTTAAAATTATTTTTTCTTCATAGGAACTTTTTAAAAAAGTAGTTGTTCACCAATGCCTGGGTGGAGTTTGGTCCAGAAGAGAGAAAAAGCGTGCTGAGGAAGCTGCAACAGTTCTCGCCACAGTAACCCAGTTCAATGCAGTGTCATTGCGCGTAATATCCACTGTATTGTTACACACCTCTAGTCCTAGATCGGCGATTATTGCAGCTTGGATTGATATTGCTCAGGTAATCTATTATTATATTACTAGTCATCTTTTGAGCAGCAAGAACATTTTCAACATTACTTCATATGTTTTTAAATTAATTTTTGCAGGAATTAAGAGTACTAAAAAACTTTTCTTCATTGAAAGCAATAATATCGGGTCTTCAGAGCAATCCTGTATATAGACTTCACAAAACATGGTCATTGTTACCAAAAGATAAGGTAAGAAATTTTTATTGTTAATTAAAAATATGAATGCTTGTTCATCAGATTACTCTTTAGATGGAATCCAGAATGCTATGAATGCTTCAGCTTTTGCCATCACACTTTAAACTTTTATGCTTATTGCTTTTTTTATTTTCCTATTTTCCTCTTTATACAGGGTGTTTCAGGATTAAGTGGCCAAACTGAAAATACTACTGCCCATAAAAAACTACAACCCATGAAGGGTCTTGAGTTCAGTACTATTTAGGGAAAGCACTGTTTCTTGGTCTACGGTTGTGAAAGGAGGTGATTTGGCCAAGATCACGCTTAACTGTTAGGTTTTTCCCTTAATTAATTACTTTAATTAAGGGTACCCGCTTTATAAAGGCTGGGTGTGCCCCAGGAGGCACACCTGCCCAGGGTCACCCCACATCTAATGAAACAGAATAAATAATTTTTCTGCTATGAGCCGGGAATCGAACCTGGGACCTTTAGCATTCGAAGCTCAGTACCCTACCACTGAGCTACCCCTCTCCCTTTGAAAATATGAATTATTAAGGACATCAAAACAAGAAAATAAGTTCCTATGAAGGTATGTCCACAAACGCTTTGTTTAGGAGATATTCACACCTTAAGATTTTCACTGTTATGAATTATTTACATTATATTAAGTAAATAAAATTTATTTATTTGTTCCAACTACTTTATTAATTAAAACTAAACATTAAATTCATATCAAATGTTAAAAGTGATTTTCTTGAGCATTAAGACAGGCTCGGCATCTTTCTTCAACAGCATCAGTAGCAAAACAGTACTGGATATGTGTTATTGTTTCACAAGATTCAATTATCCTACTTTGTAAGGAATTAAGGCCATTGACCGGACTTGCATTGACTTTTTGTTTAATGTCACCCCAAACAAAAAAATCCAGTGGTGTCAGGTCTGGAGAGCGTGCAGGCCAAGTCACTGGCCCTGCACGGCCAATCCATTGATTAAGGTAATTACCATTTAGCCATTGTGGACCTCTTCCGTAATGTGCAGGACAACCATCTAATTAAAGCCACATGTTCCTACCCAGTCGTAGTGGAATATGTTCAACTAAATCATAGTAATCATTATTAAGAAATTCCAGAAATGTGGCCACATTGAGTCGAAGCGGCAAGAAATGCGGACCTATTAAAATATTGTCTATCCCCAACCACACATTACACTGAAACTGGTGCTGAAAATGATACTTACGAATTGCATGAGGATTTTCCTGCGACCCGAGATGATTATGTTTCTGATTCAAGACAGATCTTGTAAAAGTAGCTTCATCTGTCCAGAAAATTTTTTCTGAAAATTATGGATTACGCTCAACTTGATTTATGTACCAATCTGAAAAATGTCTTCTTTGCTGAAAATCTTGCCGTAATAAATTTTGTTTTTTTTGATAATGATATGGGTGAAGTCCATTTGCAATGAGAATTCTCCATACTGTAGTTGGTGTAATCTTTAATTCTGCTCCAGCTCTTTGTACACTGCCATATAGATTATGATCAAAATATTGCAGTATGGTCACACTCCTTTCTTCATTTTGTAAAGGGGCAAAAATACCGTCAGCACTTGTACCAGTTTCAATAAGACGTTGAAACGTGGAACTAAAAATAGACTTGTTTCGTAATCTTCTATTCGGAAATCGCCTGGCATATTCACGACGAGCAGCATTAGCATTGCCATTACAAAAACTTTATACAAACATCATATCGGCATATTCACTATTAGTATAAATGGAAGGCATAATGATGAGTACTCAGCGAAAGCCTCTTACAAACTGTAATAAATGTTCTTGAAAGTTTGCAATGCTAGTTCCAAATATTATTAAACCTTATGTAACCAGTAGTTGTTACAGTTACGGATAAAAGGCCATATTAGTATTCTATCTAATCCATCTACTGAACAAAGCGTTTGCAGACATACCTTCACTTTAAACAATATGCAATATGAATGTTAATGTTTAAATTTAATTAATGAAATAGTTAGAACAAATAAATAGGTTTTATTTATTTCATATAACGTAAATAATTCATAACAACGAAAATCTTTATGTGTGAATATCTTCTAAACAAAAGCGTTTGAGGACATACATTCAGAGAGAAATTTTTTCTTGTTTTGAAGTCCTTGGTTCATTTTTGCAGTTCAGCCATTTAAACCTGGAAACACCATGTATACGAATTGTAATTATAGAATTATAAGAAGTTAAACACATGTTTTAACTTCCCTTAACTAAAGATAATAAGAATAAATCTAATTTACAGCTTTATTCATTTATTTTATTAAATATCATTTTCATCCATAAAGTTATTTCAAATCAAACCTCATATGTATTTGGAATCAATAACTAACTATAGTTTAATCATCCAAAATATAATGTATGTTTAATTTCTTATTAGAGATCGACCAATATCGAAATTTTGGCTGATACTGATATTAAAAGGCCAATATGGACGATATATCGGCTAACTGTTGGAAAGTTAAAATAACGCTTTTTGAACCATTATTTAATAACTCATTTCATTGTTATCTTTTCAATTTTAAAAGTGCTTTCTTAATTTTTATAGGTTGAACTTTTTGAAGAACTAGCTAGAATATTCAGTGAAGAAAATAATCAGTGGGCCCAAAGAGAGCTACTTATGAGAGAAGGGACTGCGAGGTTTGCTGTAACAGTTGGTCAGAATGATAAACATCTTCAAAAAATAATTCAAAGACAACTCAATAACAGTGGGGTAAGCTCATTAGTGAAGATGTGTCTAATTTTGGCTATGTTTTATCGAAAGATTTTTAATTATTCGTCATAGAAGTTTTAACAGTACTTCTGAGTAAATCTGAACGATTCAGAATTTATTTTCTTTAAGTACATTATTTATGTTTTTTAAAATACTTCAATTTTAATTTTGTTTTTTTAATGTCTTATAATTTTTGTTTCTAAAACCAAATTTCAGACCATCAGCTATGGAACCATACCATATTTAGGAACCTTTCTCACAGATTTAACTATGATAGATGCTGCTATTCCTGATAATTTACCAAATGGTTACATTAACTTTGACAAAAGAAGAAAAGAATTTGAAGTTTTAGCACAGGTGATTGATTTAGTTTAAATGAAAGAATTTAAAAGTAAAAAAAAAAAAGTCCTCTTTTTAGTCCTAGAAAATAAGAATAACTTGAGATGTCCAGGATATTTATTTTTTTTTTTTTTTATATTTTAGATAAAGCTATTACAGGGTGCTGCTAATGCCTATACCATAATTGAAGATCCTAGTTTCGAGAGATGGTTTGATTCGGTCCTTACGTTGGATGATAAGGAAGCTTATCAACTCTCTTGTCAGATAGAACCGCCACCTGCTAACACACCTGTGAACCTGAAGATACGGTAATATTAATTGGATCGCTGATCAAGTAATTTATGAACCAATTTTTGTCAACATGATATTAAAGATGGAATTTTTAGTTGTAAATTTTCCTACACATTATTCCCCTAATCTCAATCGAATTTTTTTTACAGATATAATCATTTAGAGAGGGTATTTAATTATATTATTAGAATACCTAGGGTTTTTAACAAGCTTCAATGGCTGAAACAAGTAATTTTGACAAATAGGCCTCCTCCTCTCATACAGGAGGGTAGTATAAAATGGTAAATATTTATTTGTGATTTATCTGTGTTGTGTTGTTCTTTTAGGTTGGTGTGATAAGGGACTAATCTGTCTTCTGTTTTCATTTAATTAGATGATTGTGGCTTTGATTGTTTGTGGAGTTTTATATTGATTTAACAAGGGGTTTTGATTTATTTCTAACATTTTAATTTTTAAAAGTGATGTCCTTTCGTGTCCTGTTTTTGCAGTGTTAATAGAGAATGAATTATTTTAAATTTTATTCATTTTTATAATTTTTTAGGTAGTGATTTATTCATCTTTTTAGTTATGAATGAAGGCGAAGAAAACTTGACTTGCATTTTTTACATATGCATTTGATAGTGAAAAAAAATAATAAGCTGTCCATTGGTTTATGCTGATCCCTCACATCCTCCAAAATTGAAAAATTCTCTAATGTTTATTACATATTAGTTGTCATGGTCAACAGTTCTTGAAAGTTTTCTTTCTACTCTAGCAAAATTCCTGAGCAAACTATCTATGTGAAGTTCCATTGGTATTCTCTGTCCCGTCTTCTGAAAAATTATTTTGTTCTGATTGATCATTGAAGTAATTCTCTCCTTTTGTTTCTCTGTGAAATCTCAAAAAGAGCAGCAGTTACCATAATAAGTAAGCAATGTCTGACCATTCCTGAACCGTTGAACAAACAAATTGAAAAAATGTTGACGCATGTGGTAAAGGCAAGTTGATAGGAAAGATGAAGTGCAAGTTAAAGATTAAAAGAAAGAGGGGTAAGCATAAGTGTGCATACTTAGGATTCTATAATTATTTATTAAATAAAAATAAATCAGAGGCCTCCAACTTTTTTAACATTTCTTAAGCGCACTTTCTATCTATTCCTGAATCCACTTCCATGTGCTATTATTTTTTTAAAATGTTCTCTTTCATTGCTGTGCTAACAAATTTTTAAAGGTATGTAAACATACATATTTTTCTCTTACAAATGCCATTTTTTTAAGTAAAAAGCACCTGAAAAAGCATATTCAATTAATTAATAGCTACTATTTCTTTCCAAATATGGACTGACATAATGTCCATGAGGTTGATTGAGTAAGTATTATCCTTAGTATGACTGAAATGTTAATCCTTAGTTTGAAATGAAATGGCTGAGCCATGGATATATATCTCTTTGGTCTTATTTGTCTTATCGTTCAGGCAAAATATGATTTAGAACTGTCCAAAATAATATTCTTCTCTATTTTTTAGAATAAAAGTAACTCAGTGTATGTGTCATAGTGATAATTTTTATTCTAATCAATTTTTTTGTTTTACTTAGTAATTACCAGGTAATATATATTGTTTTTGAAATTCATATTACAGACTTCAGCTCTCTTATTATTTTTTATTGATTCCTTTTATTTTTCTCAGAAATTTTACTAAACATTATTCAGTGAAAAAAGGTATTTACTTTATTATAGCTTTTTGTTGGCAGTATTTAGTCTTGTATTTTTTCATTTGCCATTTTATAAAATAAAAATGATTCTTAATTATATTATTTCTATCCTTGTTTACAGGATTTCAAAATGCTCCCATCTCTTGTCTTTTACCGTTCACAGTTATGATTGTTTATAGAAACCTTGCTTTGTTACACACTCAATCCATCTCTAGCTTTATGATCATATTTTGAAATATTTTAAAGTTTTTTTCTTCTCTTGATTAATTCTTATGCTTTTCTCTTCTATTTAATTAAGTTTTGATCCCAGATTGCTGGTATCACTATTATTATTCATTTTTTTCAATTCTGACTAGTTTCTTTACTTATTTAGTTTAAATCTTGATATTGATATATAGCTTATACTACCAGTGGGTAGTTTCTCAACAAGTCTTTTCATGCCATCATATTCCTTTGTTCAGATTTACTAAATATATTTTTATTTTATTACATTTTTAAATATACTGAATAAAAAAAAATATATTTACCAATATGAAATTAATAATTTTTATAAAAATAGGTTAATTTATGAACTAAACTTTTATGATATTTCTTGTTTTTAGGAATCATCATTATGGTCATAGAAAAAACGACTCTGTCGCTAGTACTTCCAGCAGTTCAAGTAGTCAGTTTTACTGTGATATAGATCATGCCTCTACTTCCATTGATACTAAGGTGTGTTAAATCCCATATCAGGGAAATATCAGTTGTAATCTGTTAACTTTTTAACCCACAATGTTTATAAGCTTATCTTTTGCTAACACCATTATATAACTTCAAATTTAATTATTTTATTAATTTTACTGTGATGATGTTTGTCTTTAAATGTTCATTTTTTAAATTTTATTGGGTAGTTCTATCCTTTAGTCTCTATGTTGTTATTTATTGGAACCTATTCTTTAAAAACTATTTTATTAGAAGCCCAATTTAACAGGCTGATTGATTCAAGTATTTTTTTCAGCTCTAAATCATGATAACCATTTTAATTTGTGCTAACTAGTTTCAATAATAGTTTTGTTTCAAATAGTTTCCATAAAATATGATATATTTATCACAAAAAGTAAAAATAATAATAGAGAATTTAAATAACCAGGTTTTCTATTTTACAGGATTCAGTATCACAGACTTCTTCATCGTCTAATGGTTCTATTGACACCACTCCTATGTCACCAAGCCTAAACGTTAGTCAGGGACCCACAGATTTTTATATTATCAAAGTGACTTACCAGACTGATAATGTTGAAACTGATGGTAATTTTTTTTTATATATATATCATTGGCTTTTTTTTCTTTAATTTTAATTTTAATAAAATATCGTTAATTTATTGCAGAAATCATGAAGTGACATTACATAACTTAAATCGCTAATAACTTTGATAAATTTTATCTTTGTGAAATGGGAACATTGTGCACTTATTGTATCCATGTTTGGTATATAAAAGGATTGTGGTCATTTTGGTATACTTGCTGTGCAATTGTATCGATATAAGGACGAAATTCTCAAAAACATTCTTAAAAGTTCAGCTCTTACAATAGGAGACCATTGTCAGTGGGTCACCAATTTCAACCAATTTTTTTTCTGTAATACTACATCAGAATATATTTCACACATATCCCGGTGTTTGTTCCAGTAGGCCATAGGAGCCGAGAAAATAAATATTTTATATTATTTCATACAAAATGTTATTTATTTTTATCTTTGCTATGCCGGGATTCTTAAGCTATTATATATCAATTGATTTTTTCTCAATTTTATTTCAGTGTTGTATAATTTTTCAGTTTCTAATTTATTATATAAGTCAACATTGCTCCTATGTTATCTCACCAATAATAAGAGTTAATTGACTATATGATTATTTGTAGGGGGGACAGGGTGGCCAAGCGGGCTAAAATATGGGCACAGCACCGCACTTTGCCTGGAAACCAGGTAATCAAAGTTATTGATAAAAAATTCATGTCCCGATGCCGGAGGAGCTTTTAACTCTGGCTTTAATCCTCCGCCCTCACCTTCTTGTCCAGGAAAACCCCATATAACCAACAAGGCGAGAAAAGCAAGAACAAAAAAAAAAGTATGCCAACTAAAGTCAGTATAGCTTCCTCACTGTTTGCTATTGCTCTGTGAATATGGAAGAAAATATCATTCATTATCGGCATATTTTGTTGTATTTTAAAAAAGGTAAGAGTGCTGCAGAAGCTCATACAAATATATGCAGTGTTTATGGGAATGGTGACTTAACTGAACGCACATGTCAAAATTGGTTTGCCAAATTTCCTTCTGGAAATTTTGACATCAATGATGCTCAATGGTCTGTCTGGTCGTCCACACGAATTTGAAACTAGCAATATTAAGGCCATTGTTGATCAAAATCCCATCCAATCAGTGCGAGAGGTTGCTATGGCCCTAAATGTGTCGCACACAAGCATAGAAAACCATTTGCACTAGCTCGGCTATGTTTCCAGGCTTAATGTCCCTCGCTCTCTAACCAAAGTCAACTTGGCAACACGCATTTCTAAGTTTATATAGGAAAAACGGCCCAATATTTTTATAGGCCACCTTTTTTTATTGATTCATGATCAAATTATCTTACGATCAAAGTAGAAAGCAAATTAGTATTTACGAGTTTTTTGTATCTAATTAAATAGACAAATTTTGCCCCCCTCCAGATTGAAAACGCCTCAATTCCAACAGTTGTCGTAAATAAAATAGTTGTAGATTACGATGAGATGAAACCATTTACGAAGTTTCAGGCAGATGTTAATAATTCGATAAAAAGGGGTCTGTACCACGGACTAATATATTTTAAATTTTATGTATATAATACATTAAGTTTTATTTCACCCTGAAAAACCGAAAGGACTTATCTGCCAACCTAATTTATTGTAATTATGCAAAGTGCATTATAAGTTAGATTGTTTTTTCAAATAAGTGAGTTTTGAATTGAAACATTCTGTCTAGTGCATAGTAAATTCCAATCTCTCTTCTAGTTCTTGATATTGCAGTTTTTCTATACTGCACTCTCCCTGGGTTCTCCTTAACCCTAAATGTAGTGACTCATTGTTCTATACTAGACAGGAATCCTATGGTCCCTTTTGCCCTTTTTCAAGACTGATGTATTTATTTATTGTTTCTAAATTTAGTTACATCATTAAATTTAATTGTTTTTATTATTTTCAGTTATTTGAAATAAATTCATGAGTGTTCTGTTTTAGGTATTGTTTTATATAAAAGCATTATGTTAAGTAATAATGAGAGAACGCCACAAGTAATAAGAAATGCAATGATGAAGTTAGGTCTGGAAGGAAACCCCGAGGCTTATACCATCGCTCAGATCTTACCTAATAAAGGTAAGGTTACAGGTTAGTCTTAGTTTAGGTAAAACAAGATTTCTTTTTTTTTTTTTTTTTTTTATGAATTGCTTCTTACTCCTCTTTCAATTACAAATACATTTTTTTTTAATGAGGTTACTTTAATTTTTCTTTGACATTAATATGGACTTTGATTAAATCATCAAAACTATCTATTTCAATAAATTTATTTGTTACATTTTTAATAAAATAATGCTATTTAATTCATATGAAGAAAATTCATTTTAATTTGAATCATTATTATTAAGATAATTAGATATAATGGTGTTGTTGGAATTATAGAGTATTAAGAACTTTCTATAGTTGTTTTATAGACATTTATTACTTACAAATGTCCAAATGGGGAATGATGCAAATTTGTTTTTATCAGCTTTTCTTACATTGAAATATCTTAAATCTTCAGAAATCTGACGATCCATGTAACCTATATTACATGGATGATGGACAACTAAGTTTATTAAAAATAATTATGGACTTTACAGCTCCTAGGAATTACATTTAAATGTAACAAATTATTCTAATTAACTCCATTTCTTCCAATCAATAAAAATATCTATTTTGATATATGAAAGACTGTTGACCAAATGATTCAAGAAGGTGGTCTGAAAAAAAACCCCATCAAATAGTTGAATAAATAAAAAAATAATTTTCTATTATTTGATATTTTTTTTTTTTGTTTTTTTATCGACTCCTTGACTATCTCCTTCTTAATCAATTTTTATAGTTTAAACTATTTCATTTTATCTTTTTGTAAACATTAATTAATAGAACATAATTTCTCTCTTAATTCATTAAAAGTCTGTAAGATAAAAAGCTCAATGAAAGAAAGAAACTTTCTCTATTTCACTCCCATAATTGCAAAATGTCGGTAAGACACATCTTTTTTCTAATTAAAATTAATTGGTGAACATATTTTATTATTCCAACCGGCTAAAGTTCAACCTTCCATCACTTTAAAAACTTTTATTTATTAAAGATCTTTTAATATCCATTGAAGCAGCACAACTATTAGTTTAAAAATATAAGAGTAAATTATGTCTCTTTTGTTTAGTTCTGGGTATTGGTTATGTTTAAAACTGATTATTTATTTTATTCTCAATTATCGCCATTTTATATTAACAGGTAATCCAAGTTTTTAATTTTTTCTTTTCTTTTTTCAGAAATGGTGCTTCCTCCTACTGCAAATGTTTATTATGCTGTAAACACTGATTTTAATTTAAATTTTATACTCCGTCCAAAGGACCAACCTAGCCCTAGTGGGCATAAGAAATCAAAACCCCTCTGTACTTAAGTTCTGTTATTTCAACCAGGGTCAATGCATTAATTGTAATCTAGTAGAGTATACATAATATCCATTTATAAGCTCGAACTGATATGTACAAAACATTCCAGTATTTATGTTTAGATCATAGAGGCATTGTAACTGTGATACTTTTACCTGTAAACATTTTAATACTTAGTTCAAGTTATTTGTAAAATCGTTCACTCAATGAATTTAGCTTTGTAATATTAAGATCTGTAAATTGATATTATAATATATGATGTTAGGCAACCTATACGTATACATATACACTGTACACACCTATATAAAAATGTATATAATTTGTAGTTAAATTATGTTATGTTGTTACATCTCAGTGTAAATACAAAGTGCAAAATAAATTTTTATTTATTCATATTCTTTATACTTTTATTTACCACTACTGTTATCCATCATTATCTTGTAATTTGTATGTTCACTAGTAATTTAAAGTGTTAAAATAAATGTTTTTTGTTTTATTAAAATTCTGGTGTTAATTTTGTTATTTGAATTTGTTCATCTTGATTACTTGTTGCATTTCCTATCTCTTAATTGTATGGAAAAACAATTTTGAACTTTACCTTTAAGATTTAAATATTATACTTAATGGTTGTCAAAGGCCTGTTTGAAGCATTAGACCACTCTATGAAAACTCATATCTTTTAATCAAAAGAATATTGCAACAATGGCATTGTAGTGTTGTTATCTAATAATTAGACTGGATTGTCTATGCAGTGCAAAACACCAAAAAGCGTGCAGTATAAAACTAAAAATGTGCTAAATCCTGTAGTTAAAACAAAAAAAGTGTAAAATTATGTTCTTTTATTTGTTTTAAATATTATTTTTAAAATAAAATAAAGATATGAAAGTATTATTAATCAAAATATGCTCAATTACTCTCGATGAACTACCAACATGTTGGTAACTTTTCCATTGCCTTTGAATGGAATGTTAGACCATTGTTAACAACTGAAAATGTATTTTCTGACATATTTTGATCAATAAATCAATTTGTATCTTCTAATTGTGGACCCAGATATCTAAAAAACAATGAGTGAGGGAGGAGGGTAAGGTTTGTTTCTGTTTTCCTATAAAGTGGAGTGCAAACTTTATAAGACTTTTTTGTGGTTGATAAATTCATTAGGAATCAAAGCTTAAAGCTTTTTTACCTCGTTAAGGTGATCACTGATGGTTGATTTACTCACTGGAAGTTCCTGAACAGTTTTTATAGCATTTTCTTTTCCAAAGCTTCCAGAACTTCGTCTTCAAGGAAAGAAAATCTTCGGTGACCATAGTATTATAAGCTGAATTGTTCCTATCGATATTTTTATAACTGTTGAGTGGTGCTCTCACTCTGCCATCTCTCCAGACTTCATTAATGTTTCTGACCTTTTAGATTCTGATCAGATTGGTTGTAATAAAAATGAAATAATGAGAAAATTATGCTTTGATGTCTTAGTAAAGAATGAATAACTTCCCACCAGTGAAATGCTACATAAGATTAAAAACATTTTGGTTTGGAAGAGGATTAACAAGTGTTGACACTCATACATAAGAATAACACCTAACCAGTTCAAACCTAAACAGTTTGTTATACAGAGGATTAAAGTTAGAAAATATGTAATCCTGCATTATTTTCCATACAATCCAAAGATAAAGTAAAATAAATAAAGATAAATAATTCACAGAATTTCCAAAATAACAGTTTGTGCCAAAGTTAGATTTAAATGAATTATTAAAGAAAGTTAGTCGACTGTTCTACATATCGTAGGTGATAAGTAGTCACCAATATGGTGATAGGACGTATGCACCAATAAAAACCTTAAAAATGACTGCATCTTGACTATTTATCACCTACAAAGTCAGATTTGAATTTGAAAAATAAACATTTTTTTCTCTTTAAAAAGAAAAAAATGCCACTTTTCATGGAATCGATCTTATATCTATCAAATGGGCATAAATATTAGGTGATGGCTCATAAACTTTTCTCCAAGTTCAATCACTAAAATTAGTTCTTGAAAATGCAACATTTATAGCATTTTTTTTTGCTTATCTTGTAACATTTGCAATATGACCTATTTCACTCATTTACTTAAAGATCATCTTGTTATCTTGATACAATACACATTGTAAATTTTACTGCTATTTAACAACATTAATTAAAGTCAGCAAGAGAGTTCATATCCATTTTTATAATTAATTTATAGAATTTGGAAGCTGGACTGGCTTAGTTCGTTGTTGTTGGATAGGTAGCACCACTGGCTCCACTCCACAGAGAGGGGAGGGGCTTTTGGGCTGAATTACATATATGTCTTCCTCTAAAGTACCTTTAATATAGTTTATTTTAAAAAGTTAATCATTTCGCATTATTCAGAGTTACGAAAAAATGCTACATATAACTTTTGAACGAATTTGATAAGTTAATAAAGAGGAAAAAAAATAAAAATGCAGAAAAACCTGCGTTGCTATAGCCTAAACGAATGTACCGATTTCAATGAAACTGTTGTGTGTTGCACGCACCAGATTTTTTTTTGTAAATACAGACTTTTTTTCAATTTATTATATTAGGAAGGTGATGGTCCGGGAAGTGGTGGGAGATGGAAGTCCTCAATAAAACTTAAAATAATTAAAACTATTTTATTAAGTCTGCAATGCGAACCAACTATCTTGTAATTAGTTAAGTCTCTCAAGTGAAGAACAACCATGGGTAGTTCCGTAGGGAAGCACTTCCTGAGCATAGCCCTAATGAAGATCTGCATAATTAGGTCGAAACATAGGCTTAATAAAATAGCTTCCTCTGTGTGAAGTTTTTTTTATGGGTACCACTCTGAACTATCTTTCCTCTTATACAATGTTCAATTATTGAGATTGAATTTTTTTTTTTCAGGCGTTAAAGGTCTAGTTAAACATTATTTGATTTAGTTTCTTCCCTTTCCTCCAGATTAACCACTGTTATACTAAATAAATAAAAAAAAAAAAAAAAAAAAAAAAAAATCAAACCCCAAAATTAAATATTAGATTCTCTATTCAATAGCACCAGTATGGATGTGGTGGCAGGGGTGCCCAGAAGGGGCTTTCGTGACAAAAATTGTGCCATAAAAATTTTTGAGGGGGCACATTTTTATGGGGTTTTAAATTTTTGAGGAAGGCACATTTCGACGGGTTTATGAATTTTGGAATGAAAAGATTGAAGCCAAAAGAAAAGGAAGCATGGAATAGACTGCAGGAACTGTAATTGCATTTAATGATTTTTAATTCTACTTGCGCTTGCATTATTTTTAAGAAGATGTGAGCAATAAAATACCATCGGAGAGAGGAGAGATGCGCCGTTGACCTTGGGAGGATGGGCATCCCTGGTGGGTAGGAGCAAAAGGCGTTAGCGCCTAAGATACTATTTTTTCCAATTTTTAAATTTAAATATATTTTTCTGGAGGAGATTACAATGCTAATCACCAACGGTGGGGTTGTCGAACATCCAACTCCCGCGGTAACATCCTTTCCCGTGTCTCATCTTCTAATAGTTATTCAATCCTCTCGCCCATGAGTCCTACTTATTGGCCAACATCCCTCAAAAAATTCAAAAAACGTCCCGATATCCTTGATATATTTATCCCCTCCCAGATTTTCTCCTCCCAAACTATAATCAAATTCCTGGATGACCTTTCTTCAGACCATAGTCCAGTTCTGCTTTCACTACATTCTGACTTTGCTCCTAAACCATCATCTCCTAAACTGATCACTGGACTAGTAAACTGGGACAAATTTCGTGATGATTTGGAAAACAAACTAGACCTCAAAATTACGCTAAAGACAAAAGAAGACTTTAATGGTGCCATAGAAAAACTGACATCATCAATAACAGACAGTATAAATAATAACACCTTTATCAATAAGATTAACAACCCACAAAATACTAACTTGCCACAGCATATTCGTAACATATTAAAGGAAAAACGCAGAGCAATGTCGAAGTGGCATCGAACAAGATACCCAACAGATAAAGCGCATTACACCCAACTGAATAACAAACTGAAATCAGAAACTAGAAATTCAAAATTCAAAATTTACTAAATTTTACTGAAAAACTTACACCAACCGATAAATCACTATGGGCGACCAGTAAAAGGCTCCTGAAATTTAAAGACTGCAACCATCCACTACTCACTGAAGCCCAAACTTGGTCCAAATCCGACGAAGAAAAATCCCAAATATTTGCTCACCACCTCTTTAAAACCTTTAATCCACATCCCGATATTCTTAACCCAAATCCCCTTGAATGTATTGAAGCAGAACTGGATATCCCATTCCAAATGACTCCTCCTCCTAAAGCCTTTCATCCTTCAGAAATATCCAACATCATTCACAGGTTACCTTCCCGCAAAGCTCCTGGACACGACCTAATTACATCCCAGATCCTAAAACTACTTCCTCGGAAAGCCATTCTATTCCTTACATATATATATAACAATATATATATATATATATATATATATATATATATATATATATAATGCTGTACTCCGATCCACATATTTTCCCGACCCTTGGAAACTATCCATTATCAAAATGATACATAAACCCAAAAAGCCACCAGAATACCTATCCTCCTACCGTCCTATCTCTCTTTTACCCATCATGGGAAAAGTCCTGAAAAAACTCATCCTAAAACGCCTGTACCCAATCCTAGATTCTAATCACATAATCCCAGATCACCAGTTTGGATTCCACAAATCCCATTCCACTATCCAGCAATGCCATCGTGTTGTGGATGGATCGTGTGGCTCTCCTCTGCATTAGAGCGCGGAATGTACTGCACGGGAGTCTTTCTCCATGTAGAACAGGCTTTTGATCGAGTCTGGCACCCGGGACTACTTTACAAACTCCGTAAATTCCTACATCCTACATACTTCCTCTTCCTATCTAACTGATAGATACTCCAAAGTCAATCACAATAATGCTTATTCATCCCTCTTTTCCCAGTCTGCTGGTGT